CTCAGAAATGAACGAAGTAAACCTGATAATTCAAGGAAAATAACTGATTATTTTTGCCACTGATAACATTTCAAGGATTCAAACAATAACTAAAATTCTAAATAACTTGTGTCCACCACTGTCAGCTTCACAGCTTCTCAAAACTCAGATTCTCTAATGAGATCAGTAGTTATAATAATAAACATGACCTTTGGTATAAAATAATGAAATGTATTAACATTTGAAAGCTCTGTTTAAACCAATGGACCAATAACTTCCAAATGACTAATTCATGCTGTTAGAAACTAACGTACGGGTAAAAGAGCCATTCAAAGTACAAGACCCAACAATAGACTTCAGTTTAACAGAGCACAAAAAGTATTCAGATGTGGCTTCAGATTCTGTATTGCAACTAACCTCTATGAACCTACCACTTATAGTAGTGTAATATCAAAGAATATCCATAATTGTCTGAAAAGGCTATTACAATACCCATACCTTAGCAACTACCTATCTGTGTGAGGCTGGATTTTCTGCATGCACTTCAACCAAAACAAGATATTGTAACAGACTAAACGGAGAAGCAAGGGGAAGAATCCAGTTTCTTCTGATGAGCTAGACATTAAAGAAATCTGCAAAAATGCAGAACAATGCCACAGGTCTCACTAATTTTTTTTTTTTAATACTAAAATCCTAAATAATTTTTTAGAATGTAAAGGGGACCTGAGTTCAAAATGTTGACAGCCACTGACCTAGGAGAAGTAACTCCTAGCTGGCTTCTAAGTAAAATATTTAGATAAAGCGATGATACTTATTAAGAGGGGGAGGGGAAGAGGAAAAATTTAATTTTGAAAAACATAAAAGCTAGCAAGTATACAGAACTAAAAGAAACATTGAGGGCTCAGCTAAGATTTGTGTTTTTTAATTTTGAAAAACATAAAAGCTAGCAAGTATACAGAACTAAAAGAAACATTGAGGGCTCAAATTTTTTTCTAGCAATACACAGTAGCCTGGGAGAAATAAATGATAGGCTAAATGGAGGACTGGAAAGAGGTACGGTGGATGGGGAAATTTCAAAGACAAATGAAAAGGTGCTGGCTTTCATGTTAAGACAACCAAATCTGAGGTCCAACCTATGAAAAAGAGATGAAGCCAGAGGGTTCCACTATTTGTCTAACTCTTTCCTTACTGGGAATAAGGAAAGTCCTTCATATTGGGCTTATGTTCAGAAGCAAAATTAGGCTATGTTAAATTTTCAAGATATGTAAGAAATATAAGTCAGTAATGGGTTTACATTCTTGCCTTCCATAAAATTACTAATTACATAATGCAATTTTCAAGAACATGGGTGGGGTTTATAGTTTAAACTGTATTACAGTGAGTTGCATTTGTACTTTAAATATAAAAACCCCATGGAGAAAATTCTAGGCAGATCTGCTTTATGCCAACTGTTTAATTACAGTATATATATATTTGAGTGTGTTAACTGATAATAAAGAAAGGTTACTGGAGCTTAAAATGAAATAAAGTCAGCTAAATAAAAGTTAAGTATTCTACCCTAAAACAGGACTATGCTAAGTAGGTTTCTCCTTTTACAAGGTTTCACTTGAGTTTGATTTTTCTTGTCATTTGTTCTCATATCAAATTGTTGCCTAGTTTTAAATGGAATTAATTTATCATAAATGGCTGTGATTTTTTTCTGATTAGATTAGAAATAGCCATAAAAAATTTCTGATCCTAAATATTCCACTTTGTATCACATTCCACTGAATTACAGACAGAGAGCCTTATAACTCGCAACTAATTTAAATCTCAGCCATGAACCTCTGAATTATCCAGTCTTTAATTTCATATTAGTGGCCTGGTGCATGAAATTCGTGTACTGGGGTTTGTCCCTCAGCCCAGCCTGCACCCTCTCCAATCTGGGACCCTTCCGGAGATGTCTAACCCAATCCCTCTTGCAATCCGGGACTGCTGGCTCCTAACTGCTCACCTAACCATTCTGCCTGCTGGCCTGTTCGCCCCCAACTATCCCTGCCACCAACCTGCTTGTCCCCAACTGCTCCCCCACTGGCCTGCTTGCCCCCAGCTGCCCCCACCAGGCTGCTTGCCCCAAACTGTTCCCCCTGCCAGTCTGCTTGCCCCCAAACTGACACCCCCTGCCAGCCTGTTTGCCCCTAACTGTCACCCCTGCCAGCCTTCTTGCCACCAACTGCCCCCGCCCCTGGCCTGATCACCCCCAACTGCCCTCCGCTCCTGACCTGTTTCCCCCAACTGCCCCCCCACCAGCCTGCTAACCCCCAAATGCCCCCCCCCGCCAGCCTGATCACACCCAACTGGCCCCCTGACAGCCTGCTCACTCCCAACTGACCCCCTGCTGGCATAATCACTCCCAACTGCCCCCCAATGACAGCCTACTCGCCCCCAACTGGCCCCCACTGCCAGCCTGATCACCCCCTAACTGCCCTCCCCTCCTGGCCCGATCAACCCTAACCGCCTCTGCCTCAGCCCCACACCTTGGCTTTGTCCAGAAGGCCGTCCAGAAGGTCTCCCAGTCTAATTAGCATATTACCCTTTTATTAGTATGGACTAGAAGCCAGGTGCACAAATTTGTGCACAGGTGGGATACCTTGGCCTGGCCAGTAATTGGGGCTGATTGGGGCCAATCAGACTGGGCAGCCAGGGGAAGGGACCACAAGAGGTTGGCCAGCTAGCTGGGGTAAGGGGTAAGGGGTGAGGGGCCACAGGAAGTTGTTGGGCCACAGGAGGTTGGCTGTGGGAGTGCACTGACTACCAGGGGAAGCTCCTGTGTTGAGCATCTGACCCCTGGTGATCAGTGCACATCAATAGCTACCAGCTAATCATCCAGTCATCCAGTCATAACAGTTGCTTAAGCTTTTATATATATATATAGATGACTTACTATGTAATATACACTATTCAAACCAGTTTGACAATTACTGCCTCTACATTTCTAGTAAACAAAAGGCCACAGGAAGATGTGGCTTGTCATTACAAGTTACATGATATTGGTTGAGTCACATCTGCACCAGGCTTTAGTTTCCTCATCTATAAAAATGAGGATAACTATATTTGTCCTTTGCTAGCTCTCAGGATTGTTGCAAGGATTAAATAAGATTTTTAAAAACTGTAAATCATAATACAAATATGAGACAGTATGAACTAAAAAGATTACATATTCAAAGGACTAAGAAATAAACTATCATATAAAATTACAAAGTTTTAAAAAGTTGGATTTTAGGTGAATTATAATTTATGTATGTTGGAGAATGGAAAAATTTATATTTTGGAGGAATAAAAGGCTTTCAACAGGAACATAAATCTCTAAAATGATATGATCCACAGTTTTAACTTATCCTTACTTTGTAAGAAAAAGTAATGATACTTGTGTATAATTGTATTACTTTGATAAATGTTAAATCACTTTATAATAAGCATCCAACTATATTTTGGAATTTGAATCCAAATGTATTATTTCCTAAATATATTTTATATTTATATCTTAACTAATCCCTAAGTTTTCCTAAGTTATTTGTTAAATCTCATTTTTTTAATATTGTTACAAAAACTGTCCTTGACTGAAAGCCCAAAATTCTCATTTCAATTAACTAGACCTCCTCTACCCCCCAAAAAAAACATACCACTGAATTGTTATAAATAGCAAAACTGGGTTTCTCCCTTTCTGGGTAATCATTATGTGAAACCATAATAAAATTTGGAGAAAGGCAGCTAAAAAGCGGGGAGAATGGTTTTTCAGAGTTTATAACCTAGATCAGGCTGTTTTCATAAATGCAGCGTTGGAACATGGCCACACCCATATTATCTAGGACTGCTTTCGCTGCAATGGCAGAGATGAGTTAATAAAGACATTCGCCTTGACAGAAAATGTTTACCAAACAATGAACTAGACAATCAATACTAAAAAGAAACAAATTCCAAACAATAAAAAATTTAAATTTAAAAAGAAGAAACAAATTCCAATAAGTCAAAATGTTTTCATAATGTTTTCATTTGTATGAGATTAATATTTGCTTCTGTTTGATCTAGATGACTTTTATTTTGGTTCAGCTGGGAGGTGGTCAATCTGACTTCTTCTTACCATCGCCACTACTAGTAACCTGGTCCACCGCCCCTGGATTACCACAACTGTCTCTCATTTGATCTTGTTGTCTCACTCAATCTACTACAGTCTCTCCTCAAACACAGCAGTCTGCCAATCCTTTAAAAACTTGTCCCATATGTCTTTCCTTTGCTCTATACCTTTCAATGGCCTTTCATTGCATTCTGAATAACAGCCAAAGTTTAAAACGGCCTATAAAGCCTTATATAAATTGGGGCATACTATTTCTTGCCTCATCTTTTATTACTCTCCCCTTCCCTCATTCCCTCTTCTGCCAAATTAACCTCCTTCCTGTTCCTTGAACAAAAAGCCAGAAATATTCAGTATTAAGTCTTTTATAATGGCCATTCTCCCTGCCCGGAACATTGGGGGTTTTTATTTGATTGATTTTTTCAGTTATCTGCATTACTAACTTAGTTACTTAAAGTGTTTGCTCAAATCTCATCTTCAAATGAGGCCTATCCAGGCTACACCATTCCATAATTCCCTATTTCTTTACCTTCTATTATATATACTTAATTTTTGCTACATTATATTTATTATTTGTCTTCTCTCCCACCCTACTAAATCTAAGCTGCAGATGCTTGGAACAGTTGTAGTTTGTGGGCAGAAGAGAGAGGAGAATAAATGATGCTTATGAATAAGGAGGTAGAAAATATATGCTTTTCCTCAACTGAGTAGAAGGAGAGCAGGCAGGAGAGAACAATTTTCCAAGTTAAAAAAAAAAAAACACCTCAAAACCCTTAAATTACGTGACTGATTCCTTTAAAATAAAAACTGGCAAACTCCCCAAAACCTGCTCTTAAAAAAAAAAAAAAAAAAAAAAAAAAAAAAAGGATTTGCAGGAGTGAGAATTATCTAAAACTGCCAAACAATTTTAAAAAACAACAACTATGTGCCACTCTTGAGGCTTGTTGTTTAACATATTATCTAAAAATGCCAAATCAATTAAGACAGGAAGGTGGAGGGCAAGATTTTGTACTATGGAAACTCTCGCAGCTTACTATTTTAACACATCAAAAAAATGTAACAAGATCTGCCCTCATTGGGTTGCTCAGTTAGTTGAGGCATCATCCTGTACATCAAAAGTTGTGGGCCCAATTCCTGGACAGGGCACATACCTAGCTTGTGGGTTCCATCACCAGGTGAGGCACATACAGAAGGCAACTGAGTGATATTCCTCGCTCTCTACAACCAGTAACAACATATCCTCAAATGAGGATTAAAAAAATTTTTAACATGACCAATCAATATAGTTTCATAAATGAAATATCCCTAGATAACTTTATAAACATTTACTCCAAACAACTGGAACCTACCATTTGTTTCCAACTGACTAATGAGATTACAGTCACCAATTCAGAGCACAGTTACAGACTGAATTAAAGCCAAAGTCAATGTCACATTATGAATGCGGTAAGGCAAGTACAGCAGAGCAGTGTCTCTTGCGCCTAGTCCCATAATCCCAAATGACTGCAATTGTTAGCAATGGTTTCTGTCTCTAAGAATGAATAAGTGAATAAAACGGTTAATATAGCAAACCAGTAACAACATCCTTCTGATACAGAATTGCAAAATTAAAAACACGTATCTGATTGCCTGAAACCTTGATCAATGTAAGACCTTGAAGAATTACATATACACAATATAACTGCACTCTCTAAAAAGCCAAAAAATAAATTCTTTATTTTGAAATGGTATTGACTTAATGACTTAAGGAACTTATGTTTATTACAAGATGGCAGAGCATTAGGGTGTCATTATAAAGTTCTATTTTAAATAATGATTATCCCTCAAATAAATGATAATTTCTTATAATTGTCAAGTGCCTACCAGAGAGAGAACTTTGGTTTACTTTACAAACAAACACTTTTCAAATTAAGCTCCCATTTTCTGAGTATTTACTATATGTCAGGTACTGTGCTAAGCGCCTAAGTGTATTTACATGTCTTTAATCCTCACAACAACCCTATAAGATTGACACCTCTATTATCTGAATTTTACAGAGAAGAAAAATGAGGCTTAAATAAGTTAAAGAATAACTTAAACCAAGAACTCAAGTATGCATAATTCCAAAGCCTGCTCTTAACCATTATAAGAACTGCCTCTCTAAATTTTCCTATATTAATACATTATAGTATTAATATAGGAAAATTTAGAGAGGCAGTTCTTATAGTATTAATATAAATGAAGCTGAATATTATCTTTTTCTACACTGTAAATATTTAATTAATGTTGGCTAATTCCAGGGCAAGTAAAATTTACTTAATCCTCCACAGTCTTGTGTACTTTATAGCTATTCACAATTAGAATAAATAAAAGTGGAAAGTATGTTTTCAAAATAAAATTTGCAAATGTGAGTGTTCAACATTTCAGAAAATATTAGTTACATGACAATTAAACGTGTAAAAAGAGTCAAACTAATTACACATAAATTCACTCCCATTTCTATCAATTTGTGTACAACCATGGCCTGGTCATTTACCCTTCCTTCATGACTCATCTGCAAAACAACAGTAATAGACTAAAGAACCTGATGATAATACATTACTATCCTAATTTTACCAGCTGTTAAAAGATAAATATCTGGGAGGCAGGAAAGGTTTACTTACACCTGATTTTCTATTACAGAATACACATTATGAAGTAGAGACAGGTTTACTATGCTAAAATTCCTCCAAATCCTTTGAGAACAAGTATTCTCTTTTTAAAAAGTTTTAATAACAGTAATAAATAACTATTATTTATTGGCCTGTTTTACATACACACCTATATTACTGATACCTTAATAACAAAAAAGACTATGCTCTTCATCTCACTTAACTTCATCAGTCTTATCTTAAGTCACCTTAAGTCATGTGTCCGTTGTGTTTTGGTAATAAAACTTAAGAATTCGGTATCCAGTGCCTAGGGAAGGGCCTGGCACACTGCATAAACTTAATAAATGTGATTATTTCAGTATTATTCACATTGTCAATAAAACGTCTTCTATAACTCAAAATCTTGACTGGGTAATTAGACTGCCACAGGAAATGCTATGGTTCATATACCTTTCAACTGTAACAGGTACTAAACCACCTCAAAACCAAAGATACTTTGGGTGAAGCAAAAACACTCTGTAGCAACCAACACTGTATTTATGTAGCGAGCACCATGTCTGGCCACATAATTAAAACACAAACAACAAAACTGCTTTTGGGGATTAGCCATTTTACTTTGCAGTGGACTTCCCTCCCTTTAAAATCAGACCAAACGCCAATAACGTAAAGCCTCGTTAGGTGCCAAAGACTCAAGCGACCACGGCACAATTTCTGGGGAAATTGACACCCGCGCACAAGGCACCCCTGGGCGTCGCTGCAGCCCAGCGGCCGCCCTTCCTCCTCTCCGGCCGGAGGGCAGTCCGGGGAGCGGCTGACGCGCTGCGGTCGGTCCTGTGACCACGCTCCTCCGAAGCCTCTCCCGCCCGGCAGCAGGGCGTTTCTGGGAGCGCAGCTCCGGAGCCGGCATGGGGACTGGGACCAGTGCGGGGCGCGCGAGAAGCGCCAGGGCCGGACCCCGAGCAGAGGCGGCGGCGCTGGGAGCCAGAGCCCCGCCCGGGTACCTTGCGTCCAGCGGCAGAAGATGGTGTCAGACAGACCGGGACTGCTCTTGGTGCCCCACACCAGCTCCACCAGCTCTTTAGTCTGTTCGGACATGATGGGGTGCCGGCGAACGGATCTTTGCTTTCAGGACTCCCGCCCCGGAACATGGGGAAGGGGCGGCTCCGGAGACGGGGGGGCGCGGGACGGCGGAGCCCAAGCAGCGGGCAGCTGGGACGCGAGGCGGGCGAAAGGAGAAAGGGCTGCATACAGCCACTGCGCCTGTCAAGACCGCTCCGGCGGCTGCTAAGTTTCCCGTACCGGAAGCTCCGAACCACCCACTTCCGGCTCCTCTCTCGCTGCCACCCTCGCCACACCCAGGAACCCGTAGTCACCTCCCCGGAAACGGAAGTGGGCGTGGAAAGAGGTGCGGACCTCTGTGGGAGCCGCGGGTCATTCTGAGCTCCGTCCCTGGCCCGAAATGTTTTTATTTTACGGGGAGGGAAGGAGAGACGTGGACGTCGCTGTGAGAGACAAACATGGATTGGTGGCCTCCTCATGCGCCCGACCGGGTTGAACCCGCTACCTGGGGATGTGCCCCGCCGGGAATGGAGCCCTCCCCGCTTTGGTGTAAAAGGCTCTCCAGCAGACAGAGCCACACCAGCCGGGGCAGAGGGGAAGCTCTAGTATTGGCAGGCACGCCACATCCGTGGGCACTGCCATTTTTCTGAAATCCTGGACACTTCCTCTGCACACAGCTGTGGTCTTGCCTGGAAGCTAAATCCAAGCCCCAGGGGCCTAGAGCCACAAGCGGCTCTTTGGCCCCTTGAGTGTGGCTCTTCCGCAAAATACCACAGTCTGGGCGAGTCTATTTTGAAGAAGTGGCGTTAGAAGAAGTTGAAGTTTAAAAACTCTCAAAAGAAATTTCAATCCTTCTACTGTTGTTAATTGGTTCTGTTGACTAATGAGTTTGCCAACCACTGGCTTAGAGCATATACTATTCTTTAAAACTTGTAATATTTATGCTAAGACCATGGTTGAGTCTCAGTGAAGAAACGTGCATGTTTGTGTAGAGATTCCCCCCACTAGTTTTAAGGCCATCAGCCTCTGTGCCTGGAGAAATCATAAAAAGTTGAACCAACTAATAAAAACATAACCAAAAACACACACACATAACCAAACACGGCATTGTATGTTTTAGAAATGTCTCTACCAGGTGTAACACAGGATGACAGCTATTTGTAGGAAAACAGATTGCAAGTAGCCTGTTTGTAAATGGTAGAGCATTCTCATCTCTACTTTTTGAGACTGTGGGGTGTATGAGAAACACCTGAGCTAAAGTCCAGGTTTTCATCATTGTGAAGCATTCCATTAAATTTAGTGTGTGTGGAAACTTTGTGCTGCTTAAAAGAAGAGATCCCTCCCTCTGGCTGGCCCTGCCCAATTGGCCCCAATTGGGGCAGGTCAGCCAGACCCCACCCATACACTGAGCCTCTAGTGTCTAATACTTGCATGGTAGTTTACATCTTGCATAATTCTCTTTCTGAAAGATAAAGGGTTTGTAGTCATAAAGCAAAAAAGGCAAACCTCTAAAATCATGAGAAGTCTGTCACACTTTTGTTTTCCATTAATATATGGAAATATAATGCATCACAGTTATTTTCTTCCTAATTTATTTCATCATTTATCAACAGACCAATGCAAATATTTGTAAACTTGAACACTAAACAAAAGTTAAATCTGAAATGTCTTTGGGATTAAAGAAATAATGTATTGAATACTAAACTTTCAAACTACACTGTATTTTCTAGTCATTTTTAAGGCAGGAATAAATATTCTTCAGATCGTGTACTAGATGTAAACAATGTTCATTTCACATCTGGGACTGGATTTCAAAATTTGTAAATTGTTGGTTATGGCTTGGAACAAATTTTCCCATAGAAACAATGTTATCTATCATATATATATATATATATATATATATATATATATATATATATATGTGTGTGTGTGTGTGTGTGTGTGTGTGTGTGTGTGTGTGTATGTGTGTGTATGTATGTATATATATATATATATATATATATATATATATATATATAGCCTAAGTGACTGTTATGACCAGAAAAACTGGTTATCCAGTCACTATGATGCACACTGACCACCAAGGGGCAGATGCTCATTGCAGGGGCTGCCCCCTGGTGACATGGCCCCAATTACCAGCCAGGCCAAGGGACCCCACCCATGCATGAATTCGTGCACCAGGCCTCTAGTGTTACTATAAAAGCCTACTTAATTCATAAAATAGCTGGACTGTTGTACTAATAATATAATGGAATTTGACCACCCTTTATAAGTGTTTCTATTAGAAAATGTTCCACATCAGGCTTCCAGCAGTAGCAGACACTCGGTAGGGGAAAACCGTTCTAGGACTATGGGAGGGGGTGGCATGGGGAAAGAGCTCTGGTGTCCAAGTGCTGCTGGGGCAGAGTTTAGAATGGGGAGACTGGAGGGCTGTCAGTTGGTGAAGAGAAGGGTCTAGTGAACCAGTAGTGGGGACTGGAAATGGGACACTGTTTGGCTTCTGGTGGCTATGCCTCCCAAGAGAGTAGCAGTAAGAATTTCAGTGCAGCCAGTTACAGTGACAGGTCCAAGACAGGAGACAGGCCCTGACAGGAAAGTGGGAATGACATTGCTAATTTCTGAGCTCTGTGTGTCTGTATTCATGAGAAGGAACTGCTGGCATTCCTGGGTGACTGGGTGGTCTCCTTGATCAGAGCCTCATGTTAAAGTATTGTTTTTACTCCCTCTATAGGAGAGCCAGTTAGTTTCATCAAAGAAAATGTTTGTTTGTTTTTTGCTATAAATTTTATTCTTGGATAGTTTCTGTTAGTTGTATGCTGCTTACTAAGGACAGCATTGGAATGGATAGATAAGTTACCATCACTGCAGAAATAATTCAAATCAGGTGAAAGTTTATTTTGTGTAAACTACAGAAAAAAAAACATAAATAAGAAATAACCTATTTGGATAGTTTTCTTTGGAAATTTAGGGAGACTAAATATTGAAAATTTTGTCAGTTAAAATGTACACATGTGGGAATCAGTGATAAAAATGTGTATACGCCCTCTTAAAATTAGGTTTGAAAAAAATTGAGTAGAGCAAATTCAAATTTATCTTTAGGGTAGAAATGATCTTTTAGTTAACCTATTTGTAGTACCTGAATTTTTAAAAATCAATTCTACATATCAATTACATAAGTGTTTGATTTTTTAAAATTAAAATTTCTGAGGCCTGGCTATATAGGCTTCTCTGAAATCCCCTTGTTCTTTTAGAATTTCCTTGCTTTCAATTTTGTTTTTCTCTTTCTTTTCCTTCCTCACAAGTTCCAAGGAATGGTTTAGACAAAAGAGCCCCATTTGTCTTCATTGCTTTCTATCTTTATGTTTTGTAGCTTTTATTTTAAGGTTCTTGGTAGGTAAGACATTTAGGAAGTCAAAGTGAACCAATCCCATCCTTTAGCTATTTGACTCAGGGCTAGTATTTAACCTCGGGTTGCACATCTGCTACGGGGCCGGTGTAGTAGTCCCTACATGTAAAGCGCCCAGTGCTTTCAGAGGTCTGACTGCTGTGCAAGGAGTGTACATATTTCAGGTGGGATTATGGAAAACTATTAGCCTCTGTCTTCTCTGTAACCACCTGCAGAGAAGACAAGGTGGAAAGGAGGTCCACACTAGAGTTCTGTCAGCACATTAAAATATCAATAGCTACCTGTTAATTCCAGATTTGAAATGGATTCCTCTTATTCAAACAAAAGAAATTAAAATATGGGATGATTGGCTGCCCAGGACTGCAAATGTCCATGGAAAAACAGAAACCAAAGTTAACCTTATAAGTAAGAAACCTTTGAACACTAAAAATGGAGAAAATGGGAGATATATGTAATATTATTGTTGTCATGCCTAGGACTACCTAGTGACTACCCATCATAAACAGTTTTTTAATTAAAAGGTTTTAATTTCAGACCATCCTTTGTGGTTACTTTAGGTCTCTGAAGATGGCCACACAGGTCTTCCCTCAGTTAGTCAGGTTAGCATGTGGCCTCTTTTCATCCACAATAATATTACAGTTATCTCCCATTTTCTCCATTTTTGCCTCCCTCCAACCACTCCCTGCCCCACTCCAGGCCTACATCATACTATTCTCTGTGTCCAGGGCTTATGCATATATGTTCTTTGGTTAATCCCTTCTTGTCCCCCCTTTGGTTAATCCCTTCTCAACCCCACTGAGATCTGTTATTCTGTCCCATGCATCCATAACTCTGGACCAATCTTGTTAGTCAGTTTATTGTGTTCATTAGATTTCACATATAAGTGGATCATGTGATATCTTTCTTTCTCTAAAAGGCTTATTTATCTTGGCATAATAATCTACAGGTCCATTTATGCTGTCTCAGAGGGTAATAGATCCTTCTTTTTTTTTACTGTTGCATACTATTCTATGGTATAAATGTACCACAGCTTTTTAATCCACTCATCTACTGATGGGCAATAGGGCTGTTCCAGATACTAGCTAATGTAAATTGTGCTACTATGAACATAGGGGTGCATATATTATTTCTGATTGGTGTTTCTAGTTTCTTGGGATATATCAGTAGAAGTGGGGTTGCTGGATCAAATGACAGTTCCTTTTAGTTTTTTTATCCACTCATCTACTGATGGGCACTAATTTTTTGAGGAACCTCCATTCTGTTTTCCACAGCAGCTGCACCCGTCTGCATTTCTACCAGCAATGTACCAGGGTTCCCTTTTCTCCACATCCTCACCAGCACTTGTTGTTGTTCATATATTGATGGTATCCATTCTGGCAGGTGTGAGGTTATACCTCATTGTCATTTCATCTTGCATCTCTCTAATGATCAGTGAGATTGAGTTTGTATTTTCCCTGTCTCTTGGCCAGCTGTGTGTCCTCTTTGGCGAAATGTCTATTTAGATTCCTCACCCATTTTTTAATTGGACTGTTTGTCTTCCTGGTGTTGAGTTGTATGAGTTCTTTGTGTGTTTTGGAGATTAACTCCTTATCAGATGTATCATCGGCGAATATGTGTCCCATACAGTAGATTCCCTTTTCAATTTGATGGTTTCTTTTGCAGTGCAGAGCTGTTTTTTTCCTTTGTTTCCCTTACCCCAGGTTATCTATAGATGAAAATACTGCTATGTGAAATGTCTGAGATTTTACTGCCTATGTTTTCTTCTA